TACTTGGTAAATCTATTTAGGCACCGTTTGGTAACCATTATTCTAGAAAAAAATGTATTCTTTGTGTCAAATGCAAGCAAGTTGGTGCGTGTGAATTTATGTCTTGTTTTGTCTCGGGACCATGTTTGATGGTGGGTCTCGCGTGGCGCCATCGTCTCCACACCACCCACCGCTGACACGTCTACATCAGCTTTGCTCTCCTTCTCTCTCTCTCTCTCTCCAAATTCTTATCTTTATTTGTTTTGCTCACTATTGCACAATGCGAGAACCAAAATGCATGTTAGAGCATGTTTGGCAAGCTTCAAAGAAAAGTAAGGTACCACTTATTTCTTAAAAATGAAGTTTTGTGAGGACAAATATATTTTTATATTATTTCAGAAAAATAAATTATAAGTAAAGTTTTATAGGAAATTTATTTGGTTAATTACGTCAATGGTCACTAAAGTTCTGAATAATTACAGTAATAGTCACTCAAGTTATAACTATTACGCTAAAGGTTACTTGGTAAATCAATTTAATATTAAACCCTACATGTCACAATAAGTACCAATGTGTAACCAAATACCGCTATTTATTATGCCAAATCAGTTATTAAAAAACAAAACCTAGATTTTTTAGACGAAAAATCTTTTGAAAACAAAGTTCGCAATATATTTTCTCATTCGAACATAATTAATACTCAATTCCTAACTCTGTAATTTTGCTAACTTAGCATAATAAATGAAGTTGTTTGAAAATACTCAGTGCATATAGGAGATTTAGTGTTGACTTTTTTTTTTTTCTATTATGACACTAAGAAATTTTAAAATAATTTTTGTTTCTAGATTTTTGTGTACATGAATATATCATACTCTATTCAAAACTATGAACAAATTCTCTATTTTTTGCCCAAATTTCAAATGATCTAGACATTCTCATCGAAAATGTTAACAAAAATGGATGGTACATTAAGGGCCATTTGATGTAAATTTTTTTAAAAGTTATATTTTTATATAATATATGGTTAAAAGTAGAAAAAATACGGAAACACATATAAAACTATTTTAGAAAAAAAAATATGATTGAAAAGGAGTTTTGAAAAAGTAAATAAATTTAAAGATTAGGTATCAGACAAGTGCGCCTTAGACTCGCTCTCTATTCCTTTTGCACGAATTTCAAATCATCAAAAATTCTCATTAATTGTTTGGTAGGAATTTTTGGAGGAAGAATTGATTTTTGAATAGTAATATGATGGGAAATGTGTGGTTGAAAAAGAAGAAAAAATTGTTGATGTGATGGAAACTATTATTTTATTGAAAAATGTGTGGTTGAAAATGAAAATTGATTTGAAAATAAACCAAGTTGATGAGGATTTTTAATTTGTTTAGTTACTCTATACTCTTCAAATGTTTTCAAATTGTTTAGAAGTTAGTTCGATAAAATGCCTCGACAATTATTTTGCAGGACTAAATTGTCACTTTTAGGGTGTGTTTGAATCTAATTTTGAGGAGAATAGAAATTTTAGAATAGTGATTGATGTGAGAATGTGTGGTGAAAAAGTGATGAAAAGTTTTTGATTTGTGTGTAATATTATTTTATTTGGAGAATATGTGGTTGAAATGAAGAATGAGAATGAGAATGGAAATGAGAATGAGAAATTAATGGGTGCCAAACGGGGGCTTA